GTAGAGTGATGCTGGCTTCACAGAAGGAATTTGGAAGTTCTCCCTCCAGTTCTATCTTTTTGAATAACTTAAGTAGTACTGGATGTAGATCTTTAAATATCTGGTAGAATTCTGCTGTAAATCCATCAGGTCCTGGGCATTTTTTAGTCAGGAGGTTTTGTATTACTGTTTCAATTTCTTTTTGTGATATGAGTCTGTTTAAGCTGTTAATCTCTTCTTGGTTTAGTTTTGGTGGTTCCCATGCCTTTAGATATGCATCCATTTCTTTTAGGTCTTCGAATTTGGTAGCATATAGGTTTTTAAAGTATTCCCTTATAATGTTCTGTATCTTTCTGGTGTCTGTTGTGATGTTTCCCCTTTCATCTCTGATTTTGTTAATTTGGAGGTGCTCTTTCTTTCTTTTGGTTAATTGGGCTAGCGGTCGGTCAATTTTGTTTATCTTTTCAAAGAACCAGCTCTTGGGATTGTTGATTCTTTGTATTGTTTTCTTTGATTCAATTTCATTGATTTCTGCCTTCATTTTTGTTATTTCTTCTTGTCTGCAGGGTTTGGGTTTTGTTTGCTGTTGCTTTCCAAGTGTGTTGAGTTGCAGTGTTAAGTCATTTATTTGTGTTCTTTCCGATTTTTTGATGTAGGCACTTAGAGCTATAAACTTCCCTCTAATGTTCTAGTCCATCATGTGGGGAAGTGAAGGCTGAATTCAAGCAGCTAGTACTTTATATCCATAGTCAAGAGCAGAGGGAAAGCTGGCTTGCTTGATTTTCGATTTCTCTCTTTAACTCTTCTATCCATCAGAATCCCTTGCTTAGGGAATAGTGCTGCCCACAGTGGGCTGGGTCTTTTGGTAATAACAACTAACAAAATCTCCTAGAAACATGCCCATAGGGCAACTTGGTCTAGATAATTCCTTATCAAGACTCTCCAGGTGATTATAGTTTGTGCCAAGTTTACAGTTAAAACTACTGGCACAATTACTTAATAGTCAGACACCTGATATTCAGTAATGATGGGATTTGAATACGGGCCATCTCACTCTCCTTCCACAGTTATACCTTCATTGAGTTCCTTTCTGTGACCCCTTGGGTATAGTCATTCTTTTCTTCAGCTCTTTGTATTGCTTCCAGAATTCTCTGAAGGGTGGTTTTGTGGAGATGAATTCTTTCAGCCTATTTATGTCATGGAAGATTTTTCTTTTCCCTTTAACTATGATAGACTTTTAACTGGGCAAAGTAATCTAAGTTGACATCTGTGGTCATTTAGAACTGGGAATATGTTGGTCCAGTCTCTTCTGGCTTTCATAGTTTGCACTGAAAAGTCAGCTGTAATTCTGATGGGTTTTCCTTTATATGTG